GGCCCCAGCTTTGACTCTGGCTTTGTTCTGAGCGCAGAGCAGCGCAGGAAGGAGCCGGCCATCAGGGAGGGCCGCCGGGAGCCCCTGATATACATCACGGTGGCCAGCGTGGTGGCCGTCTTGCTGGCCGTGGGAGGGCTGCTCTTCTACAAGTATAAATCCAGGGTAAGCCCACCCCCCCCAGGCGCAAGCATCCTCTCCTGCCTCAGTTTCCCCACTCATCTCGGTCCGTGTGGGTTGAGCCTGGCTTTCCCCATCATTTTGGGGTGAGGGGTGCAGGTGGTGGTTCTGAGTGGGGTGGGAGGATGTTATTTAGGACATCCTCTCTGCAGTGGGGTGGGGGTGAGAGCCCCCTCCCCTTCCCCAGGGCTCATCTCCCTGTTCCCCCTCCCTCCACGCAGATCCTGGAGCGGCCGCTGGAAGATGGAGGCTGCGACCCCCAGGAAGAGAGGAGGTGGGTGTGATACCGTCCTGCTTGGGGGGGGGGCTTTGGGGACCCCCATCCGGGGCCACCCTGCCCTAAACCCCCCTGACTTTCCCTCGCAGGGCGCTGCGGGGAGCGAGGGGATGTCCGGAGCTGGAGACTCAGGACCTCTAAGGTGAGCAGGGGCTGGATGAGACCTCGCAGGGCGCTGGTCCAAGCCCGTGGGGACAGTGTTGAGTCCCCGGACCGTCCCCACCAACACTTGGCCTTGGCCCTGGGCAGGGAAATCGGCATGGGGTGGGGAGACACGGGGAGGAGCAGGTCTGCACCCCGGCGCTGCCAGCATGCGGTTTTGCAGCCCATTAATCCATTACCAGCACTTTCTTAATATACATAGTATTTTTTCCTGTGGTTTTTATGTGTTATTTCCTCCCCCCCGCTCTCCCTGGCAGAGCCTCAGCTCCCGCTCATCTTTCTCCTCCTTTCCCCAGGGCCCGAGGCGGGATGTGAAGCTGCTCGGGGGACGGCTGCGGATGCTCCTCGCCGTGCGAGGGAAGGTCGGCGTGCACCGGTCCCGCCATGATGCTGACGCTCCCTCCTCCCTTGCCCCACGCCGGCACCAGAGACTGCAAAAAAAAACTCCTGGGCAGGGATGAAAGGATGGGGGGATGTGCCCCGAGCGGGACCCCCGGGAAGCGAGGGGCTGGAAGGCGTTGGACTGTCACCGAAGGGCTTTGCTGGGACGGCGGCGGTGGCTGATGTGCCACTGCGGTGCTGAGCAGGACGATGGAGACGCTGGTGCTGGCTGTGGGATGATGGATCCCGCTCGGACACGGCCGGCGCTGGCTGAAGATGGAGGGGCCCAGCTCCC